CGAACTCCCCCGTTAAGTCATTTTCTCCTCAACACCCCAGCCACTCGCGATGCAGAGCTGCAGAGCAACCGCAATTGCCGATGTCGCGTGCAGAGAAGTACTACCGGCGGCGGGGATTCGCGCCTGTTCGTGCCATTCTAGCGGCAGGAGGGCGCGGAAGCTGCTCACCAGAATGCCGGAAGGTCTGACGCAGAGCGTGACAGTGATATACCTGTCAGATGCAGAGTCCTCAGGGCAGAGAGTATTAATGTGATGACGCTATTTTCTCTGATGCAGCGAGTGCGAGTTATCTAACTGATCGGAAGTAGACGATACGTTTAACTGATGATATTGATGCGCAGTAGCAGTTTTGCGATCCAGACGACGGAAAGCTGAGTTGGCACATGGCCGGCCACGGATTCTGCGCCGACGAGAAGCTAAACGTGGTTAAGCGCAATGAGTATGATAGTGAGGCGGACGCGCCTCAAGGAACATGGCCCTGCCATTGATACGGGTTTCAACAGTGCACAACCCATTGTGCCGGTAGCCATAAGTGCGGGAAGCCACAGTAGCCAATGGTAACGAAAGAAATGTGGGAAGAGACTCTTGTTGATCGCGGGTCAAGAGTTAATTGGGCTAACGTGTGGTTAAAACATGAGAATCTCTCCGTAATTTCTCTTTCAGATCAGCACTGTGCGTGGGCACGGTGCTAAGGAGAATGCGACAGCCCACAGGGGGCTGTATTTGTAGCCGAAGGGAGTCTGGCCGTAACTCAGTCGACGTGGGCTTTAGCGTTTAGCGTTGATCTCCAGCGCGATTACGGAGTAGCATGGAAATGGTATAAAGATAGCAAGATTCGCTAACATGCTTAAGGACAGGTTCGCACTCGTGAATATAATCAACGCGATCCCAGCTTTGAAACGTTTTTCGGAGCACGGTGGAAGAGTTTGTAGCAGCTCATGCATTTAACGTTTTCGCATTAAGTATAAACGTTTAGTTAAAGGGTAAAGGGCATTACAAGGCATGTTTTACAAGGCAACGCCCTAAGCGTTGCCCTTTTTGCCATTTATGGGTAAGCTTCAGAAGTTTTCTCTATGGAACTGCACGATGAAGAAGACATTGCGCGATGGATGCTCCCGCTTTTCTTCAGTTTCGCTTATCAGCAGGATGCCTTTCAGCAGGTTGGAAGACAGCTAACAGTATGTTAATCTTACCCACACGCAGGTGCGGCTTAACAGAGCCGACTATTAATGATCTTATTGGCGTACAGATGAACTGCGAAAATTTTTAATTAAAGTTAGTCGATCGCTGACCGCGATTCGCGAGTCCTACCGATGGATAAGTTTTGCGCGCTAACTAGGCAACAGCTTCAGTGCTGGCGACCTGATGCTTTATGATGGCGCTTAGTTGATATTACGATGTGGTTGCAGATTTGGAAGCAGGCCGTTAAGCGATCTCCATGTTGGGGGCGTGACGGACGGAAAACTAGCGAATATCTGCTTATGCTCGCAGTACAGGTTAGCACACCTGATTGTTGGCGTGCCGTAAAGATACTCTGTCCGATTACGGTGGCTTTGCCACGAGCTATTGAGGAGGATATTCTCTATTATTATGATTGCTTCCCGAGACAGTGGTAAGTGCCTACTGCCAGCTGTCTTTTCATGTCAACTGAAGACGTTTCTGGCATTGAAAGACATGTTGGCGACAGATTTTTCGATGTATATCGCAGATCATACTACACCCGTTTTCATTCCAAATATCTACAGCTTATGTCTATTATGACATCAGTCACGTTACGTGGCATTTGCGCAAAACAGAGGCGCGTTATTTTTTCGCCTCAACCGACCGCATCAAGCAATGCAATTCGATAACAATCACGATATTTTGTCAAGTCCGCGTCCGAAATATATTATGTCGCTAATGCTTTGACTGTGTGTTGCTTCTTTCTTAATCAACGAGGAGCAGATTCTGGCGGCGTTTGCCGCCGACGCGTTTAAATTGCGCGGCAGAGCAGGCACCATGTGGCGTATGCTCACCAACGGTAACTGGTTTTGATTTCTCCAGTCAAACCCTTTACACATTAACGCGTTTTCATGTCACTCGCAGTGATGACTCGACTCAACGCCAACCAATTACAGACACGCGAATTTTGTTTCAGCAGGTGTTGTAATGTTATTCTGCTAATTAGCTAACACTCTGTTAGACGGTCACTATACGTGCCGGAGATGGCGTGCGTGAGGCAGGGGGGCGTGGCAAGGAATGGAAATGGAGATTAGAATAAAGGTTAATTCTGGAAATATATAACGTGTTTGTCCTCACTGAGTTATAGGCATAACTTTACATGGTGTCAGAAGTGGATACGACTCCATCAATCAACCACGCAAACGATATGGCAGCTTTAGACGTGCCAATTCCGCGTATGGAGTGGGACTCAGGCGATACCGCCGAGAACTGGAAGAGATTTCGGCAGCACGCGCGAGTTGATGTTTTCGGGACCACTGAAGGCCAAAGACGAAGAAGAGAAGGTGAGCTACCTGCTGATTTGGGTAGGAGAAAAAGGACGCGATGTGTACAATACATGGTCAGACATATCGGCAGAGAACAAGAAGAAGCTAACAACGTATTATGACAAGTTTGGAAAGTATGTAGAACCGAAATCGAACACGGTGTTCGCGCGATACCGCTTCTATAGGGCGGTCCAAGGTCAAGAGACTTTCAACAATTTGTGACGGACTTAAAACTCCTTGCAAGGGAGTGCGCTTTGACAACAAAGGGAGAATATGATTCGGGACCGGATCGTGTTTGGGACAAACTCAGATAGAATACGTGAGAAACTCATCAACGAGGGATCCGACCTGACATTGACAAGGTCTATAGACATAGCACGAACACACGAGTTATCACAAGTACAGCTAAAATCAATGAAAATGGAGGAAGCGCATGTACACGCTACGCAGAGGTATTCATCACACCAGCACGTGGGAGGCACACAGATACGCACCAAACCAAGGGCGAGGGGTGCATACGGATATACACCAACACGTGGAGGCACACGTGGATACGACCCAAGGGGTAAGAATGCACATGGAGGCAAACAGCTTTGTGATAGGTGTGGTACGCATCACAGCTACACCGACATGTGCCCAGCGCAAGGCCGAGAATGCTTCGCATGTAATGGTAGAAACCATTTCGCAAGGATGTGTAGATCACATAAGGATGTTCACAATGTTGACATTTGCGCTGGGGATCAGGATTACCTGGACAGACATGACCCAGAATTCTATGTCGACAACAATGTGTTCATAGGGACTGTCGGAGGACAGTCGGCTACAGGCACCAATGAAGCATACGCTGATATAGGCGTGGGTAATGAAACGATAACATTTAAACTCGACACAGGAGCTCAAGCCAACGTGATTCCGGAAAACGTATTCCGCTCCCGCTCGAAACTGCAACCAGCGAAACAGAAGCTGTACGGTTACGGCGGTCAACCACTAGCAGTGAAGGGTACGTGCACCTTACCATGTCAGTACAAAGACAGACGGAACAACATGGACTTTTTCGTCGTCTCGACAAAGTCTGTGCCAATCCTTGGGTACAAATCATGCATTGATCTGGGTCTGATAAAGGTCGTACTTTCAGTGGACCAACCCATGGCGGAACCAGATATATTTACGGAGTTCAGTGACACATTCAAGGGCATCGGACAGTTTCCTGGGAACATACGTTCAAACTTGACCCTGAGGTTGCACCGCGTAATTAAATCCATTGCGGATTTTAGTCACAGTCGGAATGATAGCAAACATGGCGGCGAATTCATAAATGTTGTTGCATTCGTCTCAAAAAGTCGCTGTAACCCCGTAAGTACCCAGTGCATCGTAGCGCACTGATGGTTACAAGAAGGTGGACGTATACTGATTCATTTGGTATATCACATGTGTGGTGTTCTTTGACGATACTTGGAATATAAGGCAACTACGTGTTTAGCTGCAGCCAAGGTTTGAAACGGTATTGTAACCCTAGCAATACCGTTTCTTGGAGCTAGCCATGGGGTGTGACCTAGCTTGGGTAAAGCCAGGTAGTTAGCGTTTTAGCTGAATGGCACTGAGGGTGGTCACAGCCAGAATTTGTTTGCGCCCTCAGTGGTTTTTTTACGTCCCCATTGGCCTTAGTATTACTGGAGACGCGACCGCCATTTTACGTGGTCATCCGAGCCACGGGAGATTCACAATCTCCAATGTTGAGAGCCAGGTTTTTACACCTTGAGAAAATTCACTGCCCCGGCCGGGGTTTGAACTCACAGCCTTCAGTGGACAGTATACGTGGCCTAACCACTGGGCCACGAAGACGCTCAAGTCCTACTACTACTATTAGTTATGGTGTAGCACTGTCGCCGACACTGACACTGTCACTGACTGTGTTAAGCGGGGCTTATGTCGGGCTTGCGAGCCTACTCGACTGGAAGCAACTGGATTTCGAGCAACTGGAAGCGATCGGCAGCGACGATATCGACATAAGCGCGCTTGCGAGCCGACTCGACTGAAAGCAACTGGAAAATCGTCAGTTGCATTCATTTGCCCACTGTTCTATTCCGAGCAACTAGTGGCGGCCAGTTGCAGGCAGTCGCATTCAATCGCAACCCGACATAAGCCCGGCTTTAGTGGTCCACTCTGACTCTTGAGTTCAAATCCCAGCCGCCAGATAAAATATAAAATATATATAAAATTTCTCATTATTGTGATAGTGATCTATAAGTTTTCACTGGTTTGTAAATTCTATACAACCTGACAGGACTATATCATAATCCAATTAATGTTGGAATTGTATCCGAATGTTTATAATCACTGTATATTATCAGTATGAAAACAGTGCTACAACATTGCAAGTGTAACTTTAAGTTTAATTGTACATTTGCCAATTATAAGAGAATATGGCATTGGCTGTAATATAAACTATTGAGTGAATATTAATTAATAAAGCTCTGGAAGAAAAATTGGAACATTGTATATTTTTTATTTCAGGGGAAAAGGGTTGAATTCAAGCTTGATAAAGTGTGTGAACTGCGTTTTGAAGTAGAGAACAATGAAGAAGTTGAACTTGAGGTTTGCATATAGACCCAATTAGTGCCTAATTTAACCCATTAAGATGATTACAAAATTGAATTCAGTAATATTGCGTGGATGTGTGTGTATGTGTGTATAGTAGTTTAACACCTATCAACAATCTTCCTTCTTCAATCTTCAATTCTTCTTCAATCTTCAATCTTCCTTCCTTTCTCAAACAAATTTCCTTCTTCCCTTCCTTCTTCCCTTCATGCTCTCTTTCCTTCTCCTCCTCCTCTCTCTCTCTCTCTATCTCTGCTTGTCTTTCTCTTGTTCAATCTATATATCACATTAACTCACTATTTCTCTCTTTCTTGCACCCTCTCTATCTATCTTTATATATATTGATTCATTTATAAATATCCATGTGCATGCACGAGATGTCTATATATGATTATATAGCATTAATTGTATTCAATATTTTGTTGCAGCTCAAATCTGGCATGGCAGAAATTTTCGGCACAGAACTTATACAAAACAAAAAATACGTTTTTTACTCTGGAGGAAAAATAGCTGTTTTTACGTGGCACGGATGTGTGCTGGAAATATCCTTTTCTAGTTGTTTTCGTGAAGACATTAACACTGCAATTTCCAACACACAATTATGATTAATGATAACATTGCAGAATTAAAAAAAATAATTAGCTAAATGTGTGTCCTGAAGTGTGCAGACAATAGTATTTCAACAAAGTACGCTTTTGGTATTTCCTTGTTTTCCTTAGCCTTTGTCTACTTGAGCGGTAAGACAGAGGTAGCTTACATAGCCAAAGAAACTCCCATGGTGATGTACATTAACACACATGCAGCGCTCGAACAGATGAGAGTGAAAGCCGAGACAGATAACACAAGTGGCCCCACTGTAAGTATGACAATCGCAAAATGCTAACGATATTTTCCCTAGCATCTGAAAATTGGCTGCAAATTCTGAAAGTGACAGCAGTGAAAACGTTGAAGAAACACCAGCATTTAAACAAAAAGAAACATTGGTGAAAAGCTAGGGCACACTTGTTTATCGTACCCGGGCATTGTAGTAGTTAATGTGAGACTGTCACATTCACAGGTCATGGTGGTCGGACCAGGAGATGTCGGCAAGTCGACGGTGTGCAAGCTGTTGGTCAACTATGCTGTCAGACTTGGTCGGCGGCCAACATTCGTAGATTTGGACGTGGGCCAGGGACAGATATCCATACCAGGCACGATTGGTAAGGTAGATGCACCCCTGGAATAGCAGGTGCAGATTTGTACTTAGCTTCCACATTTACACACTGACATGTAGAGTGGCCATCAAATTATTGGCGTAATCAATCGTTGACGAATGCAACCGACGAATCGCGATGTTTGGAACGGTTGCCGACACGACGGTGATCGTGTTCTCGCCTCGCACATTCGCAGGCTCGCTGTCCGTAGAACGACCGGCGGATGTGGAGGAGGGCAATTTCTCGCTGCAGGCGCCGCTCATCTACCACTTCGGTCACATCTCTCCCAGCGTCAACATCAACCTGTACAACTGCCTCGTCTCGCAGCTAGCCGACATCGTGCAGATGCGCGGCGAGACGAACCGGAAGGGTGAGCAGCAGTGGCTACCTGGGAGAAATCCCGGCTGGGACGTGACAGGAATCTAATTTGTGTTTGTTTCTGACGCATGGCGAGTACATCTGTTCGCTCGACGTTATTTCATTAAATAGTGCTGCAAGCGTTCGGTCATTTATATAGACTTTCCTTGGAGAGGGACATGGGAGCATTGTAAATTTTAATGTAGCTGATGTTCATGATAATGCTTCGTGAACAAGATGTCTAGAGCAAATAATAATAAGGTTTTTGTGTTCTTACTTGCAGTTTATGTGATCGTCAGCAATCAGTTGCTCCATTTCGAGCGAGACACGTCCGCGACATTTAATATGTTTTACTACAGTCGTTTTCATGAAAAGGTTATTTTGTAGCGTGACACACTCTCGCGGAATGCATGTATGAGTGTGTAGCGGTGACTTACTGTCGTTATTTCCTGTGCCCGTACGTTTTCAGCTGCCATCAGTGGAGTTGTGATCAACACCTGTGGGTGGGTGAAAGGTCTCGGTTACAAAGCCGTCATTCATGCTGCTCAGGCATTTGAAGGTAATATATAGTTCTACATTATGAACTGTAAACAGTTGCATTTATATACTTCGGTATACTATACATATTTATGGTATTATCCATGTGTTGCAAGCATTCAGTCGTTTATACAGACTATTCTTTGAGAGGAATCTGGGAGGGTTGTCAATTTTAATGTAGCTCATGTTTGTGATAATGCTTCGTGAACAAGATGTCTAGAGCAAATAATAATACGATTTTTGTGCATACGTGCACGTGTTCTTACCTGCAGTGGATGTGATCATAGTCTTGGACCAAGAGAGACTTCACAATGATTTGAAAAGAGATCTGCCTAAGTTTGTGAAGATAGTGTTGCAACCAAAGTCTGGAGGAGTGAGTGTCTTGTAATGGTGAAAGCAAGGGCATTGTGAATCCCAACAATTGATCTGTGTGTGTGTGTGTGTGTGCGTGTGTGCATGCGTGCGTGCGTGCGTGCGTGCGTGCGTGCGTGCGTGTATGTGGCTGAAGGGGTCGTTGTCGTATCAGGTACTACATATATGTAGCCGAGGTACATATATCAGGAGTTAATAAAGACAAATTGTCTTTATTAACTCCTGCATATATGTATACACAAAGTGTACCAGACTTGTACTACAGAAGTGTACCCTAACCCTAACCCTAAACCTAACCCTAGCCCTAAACACAGGGTACATATATGCTGAGAAGATACAGGTCTGGTATACATATACGTACCTCGGGTACATATACTTAGTACCTGATACGACAACGACCCTTTCAGCGTGTGCGTGTGCGTGCGTGCGTGCGTGCGTGCGTGCGTGCGTGTGCATGTCTGCATTCATATGCATCTGTGAGTGTCCTTGTGTGTACGTGTGTGTGAGTGAACGAATGTGTATTTGTTGTAAATGACAACAAAAATTATTTAGAAATTGTAATGACCACTAAATATGTAAATACTGATTTATACACCTCTGCTCTCCACTGTCTTTAGGTTGTTGAAAGGTCACGCCAACACAGAGTTGAATCTAGAGATGCCAAAGTGAAGGAATATTTCTATGGTCTGAGTACACCCTTATATCCCCACCAGTATGATGTCAAGTTTTCTGATGTGACAATCTTAAAAATTGGAGGTAAAGTAAGAGAGACCTATGAACTATGTTTGCAACTGAGCAAGCGTATTGCAATTACTCTGACCACCCTCAGCAAATTTAATGCTTCAGGTATGATAACTGTAAAATTCACAATTCACAAGCCCTTTCTTCTCAGGTATTCGTAATTATTTACTTTCAATTAGAAACTGATACAAAATTTAACATAAGTCAGACTGAATTTACCCCCCTCCCAAATAATAATAAAGCTAAGACAAAAAACATCACACAAGCTATCAAGTTAATTCGAGATATAAAGTCATGTGAGTAGATAAACGTGCTATGATAGTCTTGATCAAATTCCAGTTTCATTGTTCATGTGTAAACTTACCTGCAATAAATTGCAATTGCATGTGTTCATACTTTAATGCGTACTACATGTTTCCATTTGTTGTGCCTAATCTTAGCTGTACTTTGTTTATAGCTCCCTTGCTACCAGACTCGTTGCTGCCGTTGGGTATGAAACAAGAGGACGCTCATTTGAAGCTTGTTGCAGTTCCTCCCAGTAAGCTGCTTTGCTCGTGAAATAGACATCATCTTTCATCCCGTAGCTTCGCCTGCTACTGGACTATTTATTTATTGCATGTACTTGTTCGTATGCTGGTCGTACAGCGTGAGTTGCTGCGTCTATCATGCAAGTTCATTTCTAGATCTGCAACAGGTGAATTGAGGAATATACATGTGTGAATAGACTTTTGCAAATCAGTGATCTTCATCTGATATTTGGAATGTCAGTCAGAGTTGGTCAGCATTAGAAAGCTGGTGTCGGAAGGCACTCAAAAATCTATACACGATTTCTAGGTGTGTCATGCAAATGCACTAGAATAAGTATGTTTTGGTTGGCATGCTTGGCCACTCCTAAAAAGAAAACGTCGATTGCATCAAACTACATGATAGTTGTGATGCGTTCATGATCATCCAAATGCCACCAGGCCTGCTAACCTTGTGCCTAATTTGATCTAATTTCTACCAATGAGAGTTTATGCTTCTACAATGGGCAATGCTGCTAGACTTGTTACTCTACTTCGTAAATACAACCTTGGGGGGGGGGTCTTATATAATGCTTACTAGCATTATAACATGCAGAATAAAGTTACTACTAACACTAATGTTACCACCGAAATGTTTCTGACAACTACCAGCATGAGCCCGTCTAACCAGATAGATGTAAGTTCTAAATGGGGTCATCCGCCTGCTGATGCTTGGTTGCGTTATGCTTCAGGTAATCAGCTGCTACATCACGTGTTGGCCGTCAGCATGGCACTGACCAGCGACGATGACATAGTCCGCAGCAACGTCATGGGCTTCATCTGCATGTGAGTGCGCAGCATCTCGTTCGCAAGATCGCCAATCACGATCTGACGAGATGTCGAATGATGTTATGTCGGGTTCATGAAGTTTTGTGCATTTTCTTACACTCGTGCCTCTGTAATTTTTTTACTTATATTATTAAGATATATCATAAGGGAAATCACCGTTTTGGCAGTAAACTTAATTTATTGCTGTATTACATGTAAAGAGTATTACATAGGATTAGTAAGGTTAAGATGGATTTCTTAAATATGAATTTGAAATTTGATCAAGAAAATTTCAAAGTGACTGTCATTGCAAGCTCGTGCAATGTAATGGGTTAACATCAAGATGTTTATCAAGATACCCCATTGGCTGATGCCATGCTAAAAGTGTAGAACAGGTTTAGAATGACATAATGGGGCGTTGATGCATAAGCTGTTTATATTCGTTTCAGTAATGATGGAACATACTGATATATACCGGTGTTTGTTTTTTCAGTAATGGTGTCGACATGGAGAAGAAAGTTCTTACTATATTGGCACCTGCCCCACGACCCCTCCCTCGTAGCATCTTGCTGCTCAGCGATGTTCAATTTGTGGACACGCACTAGTGATTCATATTTCTACATGCTGAAAGCATCACCAGAGACCGTACGCACTAGTGAATCATTTCTGTGCTCTGAATGTATTTTGAGATACTGTACGTAATAATGATTTGTATTTTTGAATCAATGAAATTTTTCCACACACTGTATGCATTGTATCTGAGCCCAGAGTATGACTGTAACTTGGTTTCTACTTTAAATAGGAATTATTGTAAATATCTTCATATTAATTTCCCCGCTAGGGTGTCATCCCTGAAAAACTATATAAATTGTGTACTATTGTTGTATAAAAGGCACAAAGGACATCTTATATAGAAATATTCGATTTGCTACTGAATTTTTATATTGTAATGCACTTTGTTTGCCAACATAAATATTCATCCGTGTTTTTATGTAACAGCTTGTTCTTGTATGATGTAATTCACTTATTGGTTGCATTCCCATAGGTTACGTCTGCATGACGTGATATCAGGCATTTTTGTAATTAGGAATGAAATAGTTTGCAGTGAAGGTTAGTTTTTGTGTATATATGCGATGAATATATTGCATCAATATACTAAGAATCCTCATTAATAGGAAATACCGTCTGTAGCTACATCAGCACAAGAGGTTAAATAACCGGGGCACATTGTCAGAAGCATAGTAAAGTTAAGGCTAATGTTAAGACTAATTTTGTTTCTGACAAGGGGCCCCTGGTAACAAGGGTATTTCCAAACCCACAAAACAGTACCAAAAAATCGAACATGGCAATGTGAAAGAACAATTGCTCCAAAAATGTCACTGTTAACGATATTTACAATCAAATATTGGATGCAATACCTGGAAATACCCTTCCATCCTTCAAATCAGTCACCAGCGCGAATGGTTGGCCATCGTACTCAGAAATAATTATTTCTTCCGCGATAAAAAACAATTTATTCGCGGTTAAATTACGTGTAGCAACGCCTCTGATTGGGTAAAAGGGCTATAATCTAACCGCATTAAAATATTTCTGCGTACGATTGCCAATCATATAGACCCTTCTTAATTATTATTCATGACCTGGGGTCATCGCAC